ACTCGAAAATTATCTTCATCAACTTAACCCCATCTGGGCCCCTCTCCCTGATACGGTGGACTTGCCTGCTGCCATACTGGTTGATAAGGAGACCCATACTGGGCGTAATGACCTGGCTGCATAGACGGGGACGGAGGCGTGGGTTGTGGCAATGGACCGACTGGTTGCGGCTGGTTGTGGTAAGGAGTGTACGGCTGGGGAAGATTTGTGTGGTTGTGGTTGTAGGTGCCATAAGCACCTGGTTGTGCGCCTGGCATGTGAGGCATATACGGTGCCAAGCTCCCTCGAGGGGACTGTACAAAGGTGGGGTATAAATTAGGGCCTGATGGAGAGTAGGTTATTGAGGGTGAGACACTGTACGACGGAGGAACATGCATGTACATCGGGGGCCCAGAGGGCTGAGCACCCTGTGACAATGCCAAACCATAAGGACTAGCAGCGGAGGATGCTGCTCCCGGTACGGCTTGCTGAAATGTGACAGGTGACATGACAACAGGGGTAGCCTGAGGGCTAGTGACTTGCGGCATATGCTCGTTTGCCAGAGGCGGCGCACCAGCACCTCCTGCACTGGAAAAGGAACTGGAAGTGATGACCGGGCTTGCTGTAGGAGATGCTGGAGTTTGCCCGGGATATATCGGGTGTGTGAACATTGGAGAAGAGGTTGGTGGTGGAACAGGCGGTATTGGCATTGACTGACTGCTGTAGACGCCAACAGCTGCGGGCGACCAACGCCCTGGCATACCCGCGGAAACCCTTTGCTGCACTTGCTGAGGTTGAGGTCGCCCTTGCTGCACCGGCTGAGATGCTGCAGGCTGCATCTGAGGCTGGGTTTGTTGTGGCAGCGTCTGTGCATACTGATGAGGAAGAAACGGACCATATTGTGGCAGCGGTTGTGATATTGGGGGCGAAGCTGATTGGTCACTGGTCCCGGAGAATGTCTGGCCCAGCGAAGGCACCGGTTGTTGCAACACACGTTGCTGCTGTGGTGGTGGAGCAGCTCTTTGCCTTGGTCCAGTGGGAAGCTGCATCTGTGAGGGCATAGAGACAGCAGGTGCTGATGTTGGTGACTGCTGAACAGGCTGCTGTGGTTGCTGTTGCTGCTGCTGATCTGGCAAATGTAATGGATGCGGAGGGGGCTCTGGCATGTATGGTGAACGCTGTTGAGATCCTGGTTGCTGAGCCTGTTGTAGATCTTGTGCATATACTGGMCTCTGCTGGAAGACTGCTCTTGACTGAGCTGCTTGCAGTGTCTGCACCTGCTCCTGAGAGTGTGGAGGCCATGTTGATGGCTGATCTTGCACATGTGGCTGTGATCGCAGTGGCTCTGGTCCGTATTGTGGTGAATGGCGTGGATCTTGCATGTACCCTGCYGTGCCCTGCGATTGCGGAGCATGCGGTCCCACCAGGTATACCCCTCGGGGTGGCTGAGGACCATACTGACGTGGCTGGGAAGGCTGTGGTTGGTTACCAAATTGCATGACAGGAAAGGGCTGTGGCGACACTCGAAGGCCTTGCGAATGTGATGGCATACTCTGAGGTTGTTGCAGCTGTTGTCCTTGCGGTGCAACCACTTGGGGCTGAGCCCGCTGTGGGATTGCCGGCTGCTGCTGCTGCTGCATTTGCTGGTGAGTTTGTGGAAGCATGAGCGGTGGTGGCTGTGAGTGTGCAGGGGATGGCTGCTGCTGCCTCTGCTGCAAGTGAGGAGACACCTGTTGGCTTGGGAGTGGGTGAACAGACGGGACCTGCATAGAGAGGGGCACATTTGGCTGCGCCTGCAAATATGGCGACATCGGTGGCTGCTGCTGCTGTGGTTGTTGCTGCTGTGCTTGCTGAGGTGCAGGAGCTGCGTGTGGATGGGTGGACACCTGTTGCTGCGCCATCACATTAGGTGACATACTCTGCTGCTGCTGAGGTGGCATCGAAGGATCTTGACTTGGTGTATGCAGAACTGGCATGCTGGAGCTTGTGCCTTGAGCTGCAGGGTACTGGGCAATCTGCTGACGGTTTTGGTCTGGTCGTTCAGGCCATCTAGAAACATCCTCCTCCTTTTCCTTTCTCTGCTGCCTTAGTTTCTCATTTACCTGCACAACATGCACAATCCAGCAACATCACCATTATGCATTTGAAATTGTTCTCACAACCAGAGATTTGTCTCTGTCCATGTCTCTGCTTATCTGCATGTGTCTTTCTGTATTCCTGTTTGTGCCTGTCTGTCTCCGTCTCTGCCTGTCACTAAGTATGTCCGACAGATCATCAGTCACTCCATCTGCGTGTCCGTCTCTCTCTCTCTCTCTCTCTCTCTCTCTCTCTCTCTCTCTCTCTCTCTCTCTCTCTCTCTCTCTCTCTCTCTCT